GGTACACAGCCTCCCCTGCACTCCTCGGCTTCAAAAATTCATATCAGCTAAGATTCTGTTGATTGTTCAGGTCACTTGTTGGAAGATCAGTTGAAAATCGGCTCTGGGGGCACAAACAAGTGGGCTGAGTTCCCACTTAGTTGGCTGCCATCTTGCCCCTTCTAAAAGGACTATATTGGGAAATTACAAAAAATGAAATCTTTAAAAAAATTTCTATGTGAGAATAATTATGGACATATTCAACCATACTTAACCACACCTAATGATCAAAAGAATTCAATAAAATATTAAAAGGGCATTTAATATGAACTCTTATATTTACATATAAGAGGTAGACTAGAAGTTTGAAAAAGTGAATTATTAAAATTCACTACAGAGTCTGTGGTGCAGAGATAAAAAAAAAACCTAGGAAAGTGAATCCCATCCAGTAATAAGTTAATTATTTTTTGTTGCTTTAAACTGGCAGTTACCGGGTTCCAATTTTACTTAATAGCTTAGGGAAGAGCATATTTGTTTACACTTACATATCTTCAGGTGTAAAGGTTTGCCACCTAGTTTCAGCTTCAATTGAATCCTTTGAGCCCATTAATTTTTCTTTTCAGAGGAGCAACTGTGTGAAATGCCAAAACTCTCATTATATTTGTTCATAAAGTGCCATGTGCCTCTGGAGCTGCCTAGGTTCCATGATTATGTACTTTATGTTCTGCCAATTTTGATTCATTTTTATTCCTTATGAAATCTCTGTACCAGAAGATTTTAGAGTAAAAAGATTTGCAACAATAACTTGCTACTGCACACAAACCTGCTGCTGCCTATTGTTTTTATATTTCCTGGTATAAGAAAGAAAGTTCTAAAATTGTGTGTTGTGAAGCACCCAGCCCCCCAAAAAACCCTTCCTCCTATATCAGGGCCAAAACTTAAAAGCTTCAAGCTGAAAATTACAACTTTAAAATACCCCTGATTAGTGTTTGTCATCTAAATTTAGCTGCAGTGCATAGACAGGTTTTTAATTAGGAAAGTGTGAAAACAAATGAATTCCTAAGCAAATTTCTTATTTGGGAATAGTCTTGTGACTCTGGGGCTGAAAGTTTTCAAGAACGTGCCTTAGTTTTGTCAAACTTTTTCTAATACAAAATAACTGGGGAGCAATAGGTTTCTGTTTGCTTCCATAATGGGTATGTGTGATTAATATCACAGGGCAGGCTCCCCACCCGTGGTTGGAAAGTAGATTCTTCTTGCTGTGACTCTGTTTCCTGAGACCCATTTGATTCTGTTAAAGTTTCATGCAAGGTAAATATTTTTTGAAACCTCCCTTTTCTTCAAGCTTGCTCAGTAGCAGACAAGCTATATCATGGTCTCAAAGTTTTCAAAAGAAGGTGGACGTGAACTTATTCAAGAACCATCTACTTTTTGAAAGTGATTTATTTGAAAGTTTTAAATAGAGTAAGAGATACTTCATTAATATGATTCAATGAAGAGAAAACCTAAAGAGATATTATCTTTATTTCTGAGATAAAACCTCAAACTTTTGGAAATGTTGAGAGAAGTTACTCGTACTAGTGTTTTTCAACTTTAATACATTTTCTTTCTCTGCTTGGTCACACTTGGGAGCATTCAAATGAATTCAACAGAATTGAATTGAAAGCACTTTAGGAAGTACAGCAGAGGACATCAAAGTTTTGGAAGACGATGTACTGTATGCTTCCTGAGCAGGCCTCCCAGGGCGTGGATGTAAGAATTCTACAGGAGCACTTGTCTTTATTATAGCTGGGTCGCCTCGCCTCCCCTCCCTACTAGATTTGACCGTCCTGCAATATGAGGGCAAGGTCTTGCAAATCTCTGCTACCAACAATAGCACAGTGCCAGGAACACGGTGGACACTTGAGAGTGTTTAGAGAGAAAATTAAAAAAAAAAAAACTATTTTGTGTTAGGAAAACTACTAATATCTAATGTTAATACATTTTTGTGTAGTTTCTGTTATTAACCGTAGCTTGCTAGGCTTGGCAGATTAAAGTGATAATAAAGAAAAAGGATTTCCAGGCTGTGTCTTCATTAAGCCAAGATCTACGTTTACAGAGGATTGCATCTAAAAGAGATTAATAATATATCTCTTTTACTGTTCTTTCATGACTAGGAGCATCACCCTAATTAGCCCAGAACCATCATTTGGAGGAAGGAGATGGGAGAGAGAAACTAAGGCAAGATGAGTATAAAGAGAAAATATAGGCAATATGTAGTTTTAGACACTCAAAGTAAGACAATATCATTTCAAGCCATGCTATGTTTCTGGAAAAGGATTTTCCAAATTCCTTTTGCCCCCATTTAGCATTTCAAGGATTTAAGTTGTCTTTGGAACGAGGAGAAAGATTGAACACAGGGAAGTCCGAGGAAACCCAGGTTCTTTCCCGTGCTTGGGGACTATGGCACAAATGGAAAAGGCAAAAGGATGAGAGAGCTCATCAGTTGCATATGTCCAGGTTTTCCTTTCTATGGGTTTAGGTCACTACAAGCCCATAAGTAAGTCTCAGGATAGGTGGTAGAGTGGGAAGAGGCTCTTGCTTGTGCTCTTAGTTTTGGACTCTGGAAAGCGATATTTTATAAAGCCTGCCTTAAACAACCTCAGTCTTAGCAATATTAACTTGAAGGTTTAGTGAGCAATTAAAAGCATGAATCATTTTAGCCTTTCCAGGTTACCTGGAGGTCCTATGGAACGTGGATGCTGAATTCAGCTGTGGAGGGCCAGCTGTCAGGTCCTGCGTGGAAACAGGCTAAAGGTAAGTGGCCAGGCCACAACACTAAATTCAGAAAGTGGATGGACTCGACAGTCTTCAAGCAGTAAGTTGAGAAGGGATCCAAACAGCCTGACAGCTCCACCCAACCCTGACCAAGCCATTCTACCAGTTACGAATCCTGCCAGCCTTGAAGGAGCGTGAGCAGCAAGCAGCTGAGTAAGACACATGACCCCCTGAGACTGCATGACTAAACTTGACAACCAATAAATAGGTGAGCACATCTGAAAACTACCTAATCATATGTGGATTAAAATGCTACCCTTTGAGTGCACATCCAAACTGTAATTAAATTCCACAAGCCCAATAATGAGAGCCACAGGTTGTTTGCCAGAATCTGGTGCAGAATGGTTTTGTTTCAACTCGTCTATGATCAGGCAGTACTAGTACAGGGCAAGGTCTCTCTTAACAGCCATTTGGAGCCATGCACTTGGAATTCTTTCATCAAAAAATGTTACTGATAGGAAAGCCTCACCCTGCTTAAACCTTTTGAGATTTGCCATCCCAGGTTGCAATATAAACAGACTTGAAAACATTTATTTTGAGGGTTAGGATAGGAAAGTAATGACTTTCAGTTCACTATAGAATGTCCACAATAATAATGACTTTTAGTCAATAACATAGGATTTTGGTTAGAAGTGGTCATTCTATTGTTTTCTATATACATTTTATATTGTTTATCTGTTATATTGTTTATTTGTTTATATTGTTTCCTACATCTGATCTGACTTAAATGCAGCAGAAATAACGATTTATTGTATATTAAGATGAATTTACTCATATAATCCCTTCTAATTTTTACAATCACTCTGAAGATAGAAATTATTATCCCATGCTTGAGGGAAAATGACTCTCCAAGAGTATATGAAAATTGCCAAACATTATAGCTGATAAGAGGAAGGAGCCCACATTCAATGGTTAAGTGTGTATTGTGGGTCAAAAGCATTTTGAAGTGATCTGAAGCTATCTGTAAGACAACCCTGTCAAATGAATATTAGTGTGTCATTTTAGTGATGAGAAAGATTAAGTAATTTGCTGAAGATTACACAACAATATTAGAAGTCAGGTCTGATCTGACTTAAAGGCCACTGTTCTTTTCACTCTTGGATCTTTCCCCATAATTGTGTCTGTTTGAAGATCAATTCACCCACTACAAAATTCTTAATATACTATAAAACCTCATAAATTATTTGTAACCTCATATATTAATTGAAGGATGAAAGATCTAATAAAAATCTAACAGATTGAAATACAGGCTAAACTTTCGAGTCCTCATTTTATGTTTATTTCACCTATCTTGCAGGCATTAAATGAGAAAATATATTAAAAAGTTCAAAACACAGGCCTGGTGCATAGTGACTCTAAAATCATTTTACTTATTTCTTCCCCTATACGTTCAACATATATCTGTATGGGTATATCTATATATATTCCCATAGATATACCTTATACAAGTGGTATTTATAAAATATATGTAATTTCATGGGTACTAAAAACTATAGAGGCTAAAATAAAATATTTGAGTAATTTTTTCATTGAATATTTTAATATATACAAAATAATTTGAAAATAAATTATTCCAAAGAATATTTAACTGAATACTTAAATGAGGAGAAAGATTACAATTTTATCCAGCCTAAAAATCTAAAATTAATATTATTAAAATTATAAAACTTTATTTTAGTGTCAGTTGATAGCATATTGTTATTATTATTTCTATTCAGTGAAATGTCAATGGGTATAGTCAGGGGAAAGAGCTTAGATATGTTCTGAAAATTAAATGTTTTAAAATAGCATGCCCAATTATAGGTAAAAACAACTATAATTAGGGAAGGTGCACATTGGTGAATACATGAAGCAAAGATGCTCTGTAGTGTTGGGCAATGCAGTGTCTGCATAGCCTTCTTGCTCCCTAGGATTTCAGTCCATCCATCTGGTCATCTAATAGGGGGCCTGCAAACAGTGGGTGATCTCACAGACCATATGTGCTGCGATACCTAGGAACAACTGGAGCTTGGCTAATGACGTGGCAAGAACCTAAATTTGGATTTCACTTGTTTTTATTGAGCAGAACCCAAACTTCACTGTAATTTTTTACACATTTCTTGCTTTGTGTGTCATTAACTTTGAAATGGGGCTGCAAAAATATTTTTTTTTCATCAGGGATGTGTTTCACGTGACCTGTTTAACCAATATCATGCCTCTCGTTCTACAGAAAATTTTGAAAAGCCAAGAGAAATAGTGTTGCAATTCTCCTTGGGATGAGACATATGAAGACTAGAACCTACCAGTGGGATGGCATTAGTACTGCAGCTGTGAGTGAATGGCCGAGGTTACTCTCTGAGCCAAGATTGTCCTTCAGTCTCAGAGCTGCGGTTCAGAAAACATGAATGTGCCGCCACTGAAACAGTGGTACACATCCACAGGGGGCGATTAAATCCATGGGCAAGAAGAGAATCAACAGATGTGAAAAATAAAGGTCTGATAAGATGAATCTCAAAGTTGTGGGATGATGGAGCTCTCTCTCCATCATCCTGTCATCTGTTTCTAGATGTGAGCCCCCTCTTTTAAATAGTTCTTTGTGTCACTTGAGCACCATTCACAAAAGCAGCAAAATTATCACCAGGGATTAGGAAATGGGAGATCGTACAAGTGTGGAGCACTCAGAGGGAACAATGTTATTATGAGCTGGGTTCCCAATTTAAAATCACCTATTAATTATTTGCTTCATCTCCAATTTCACATTGATCATTAGATCTGATCAAAGAAATGCCAACGATATTGAGAAGTTCATTCTTAAGTCAAGATTAGTGCCCAATATATTATAAGATGAAGGAAAATTCTTTCACATAAAAGATAAACAGAAGGTGTCTTAAGTCTTAAGATGACTGGTAGGTACATTTATCTTGAAGAAATTCTGTACCTCCAAAGATGGAGGTGCGTGTTTTTATCTGCAGAGTACTTGTCACCTCAGTATGTTTGTGAACAATTTGCACTGGATTAGGAAGCATTAACTCTGATATTAGGTGTTACATATCCAAGGCTACATTTGATGTTTAAAAAGCAAATCAAAGTTCAATTAAGCTTTACATAAATGCCAACAGCTATTTAATTTCTTTTTACAGGTTAAAAATCAGAAGGGTGTAGGGCTCTATCTTAATCTGTATTGTGTTGCTTTAAATTGTTTTGTTCTGGTTTGTAACTTAAAATCTGGTAAATACGCCAGGGAGATGTCACATTTAATTCAGCAACGTGTTGCCAGATTGTCAGGAAGCATTTTGTTTTCCTTGAACACAAGTGAAATCAGTTGGATAATATTAACTTTTATGTTCAAAATTTGTCTTGGATTACTCTTAATATCACACTCGATGGAAGATTACAAAGGTGGAGTAGTAATGCTTATGTGCATAGGGGATTCTGAACATCTTAAGCACTAAATTCTTTAAGTTAATTTATTCATCAGCAGGCCATTTGATTACCACAAAATAATAACACTTATCCCATATTTTTGGACACTGTCATAGAGAATGTTTCTGAGACTATAAGTGGCTTACCTATGTAACAATGGTGTCATGAGGATGAGAAGTATATTTCTGTTACTGGATCTAGACTCTGAATGCTGATTTCATATGGAACAGACTCCCATTTAGTTGAGGTGAACAACTATAGTTAAGGGACAACATAATACTTTTATTTCCAGATAGAGGCAATAAAAAAGAACTAGCAATGAGCATGTGGAACTATGAAATTATGGTCACTTAAGCTGTATCAAAACATGTAATTTGGATTCGGATCATAACTGTCCTGTGCATAATTTTTCTGAAAAGTTTATGGCAGAGTCCCAGTATGAATACATTTTACTGACCTATTCAACAAATATTTACTTTGTGTATCAGCCAGAGCCCATTCAGAAGACAAAAGTCACCTCAGTTATGTGACCAGAAAGAATTTAATATCAACAATTATTAATTAGGTATCCATTCATTAACTCGGTACTTAAAAGGACAAAAGAAGAATTTTAAGTACCATAGTAGTAGCAGCTGCAGGAAGCAGCTACCATACCTAGGACCAAAGGAACAGGGGCAAAATTAGAATAATTAAAACTTAGAAATGTGTGGAAGACACAAAAAGCTAACTTGTACCTCTGAGCAAGAGTGATCACTTGCCTGATGCTGGCTTTTTTGAGTTTAGGGACTGACCCTGTGAACCTGAGACCCAGACCTCTGATAGGGGGTGCGGTGAGGCACCAGGCAGTTATACTGGCTTCTTAGTTAGACACAATATTGTGTGTGGTGCCACAAGGCTAGCAAGGTATTCTGTAAACCTAAGAGTGTTGTGTTGAAATTTGCATGATGGCTAGGGAAGGCAGAGCCATGTCTAGAATAGATAGCCATTTCAGGGAGGACCATGTTCCCTCCCAATGTTATCAACCTGCCATCCAGTGGCTGCCTGGTACCTGGGGACATGGTGCCATATTAGGGTCTCAGAGTTCATTTCTGCTCTTGGTTGCTAGAGCACCCTGCAGCAATGGTAGCCAGGTCAGACTTAGTGATGGTCAACTTTATACATGGGTCCACTGAGCAAGTCTACATGTTTAGGGGAAACTGACAAAAAACATGATATTTGTCCATCTTATTGTTGGAGGCTTTCTCTGTTGTAGATGCCCTGTGGTGAATATTCATATGGAACATAAAAATCCTCACATTCTGTGTGTATCTTGTGAAGTCCATTTGCATGGCTCTTTCTCAGATTACCTCATCACTGTGCCTCAATGCCAGTCTTTCCAGATTCCTGACCATCTGGCCAAATCATTAGTTACCACCAATAAATCAATGTGGCTATGTATTTCTGACCATTTATTTCCAGATAGAGTGGAAAACCAAATATACTACTTGAAGATCTTCCCACTGAGAAATTTACCTTCACTGTTCTCCCTCAGGCCATCTATAAGTGGAGTTTTAATAATATAGACATCCATTCTTATGTGGTGCCAGCATTTCAAGCAGAACCATCTGGAAACCAGGCCCATTATTTTTCTTCCTCCATTAAATAGTCATAAGAAACTCCTCCAAGTGGACATAAATGTGAGTTGAGGAAGGGGACTCAGTGCAGCAGGAGATGGTGCCAAAGATACTGAGACTCATGTTTATGTAAAATATTTACATCTTTGGACCCGCTCAAGCTTGATCCCTTACATATCATTTCCACTTGCTGATCTATTGCAGCTATACATGGCCAACATTTAGACTTGATGGGTCAGATAATATTCAATGTATGATGGTCAGCTGATGACACGTGAGGTATTCAATCTCTACCAGAACCAAATGGTAAGTTAGGAGCTGTTTCGCAAAAAGAGAACGACTGCAGAAGAAGGTTATGATTTGATCCAAAACCCTGGACATCTGATTCTTTTCTGGCTGCCTGCCAGAGGGCCCATAAAGCACCCACATTTGCTGTAGATATTTTGAATATCATTGGATCTGCTGGGTTATTAGGCCCAAGTGCACTGCTTGCACCATACTTTGGACTCATTACAAAGTTTCTCATGCTCTGCTTTTCACTTCAAATAGAGAGAGTTATGGCTTACTTGATAGCTGTATCAAGTTGGCACACTCGAACATGGAATACATTACCTTACAAATTCCAAAAAGCACATTGAGCATGGTGCTTCCTTTTTGAGACAGGTTGTATAAGATATTGTAACTTGTCTTTTATATTATACCACTTCACTGAAGTGATTCATGCCTAAAGTTTTATGTGGTCTGTTTCTAACAGATTAGTTCAAATATGTCATTCAATGGCATTTAAAATATGTGTGACATCAGCTATGTGGATGTAACTGACATGTTTTCATCATGGAGGGGGCTAGTGGAATGCCAGGATTTCTTCAGACTATATTACATCACAGTGTGTGAGCTGGGTGGTCCTGATGCAAGACTGTGAAGGCTTACTTTTATCCTTGTCAGGTAAAAGTGAACAGCTTCTGGTCTTTCTTTAAAATGTGTCTGGAGGAAGAAAATGTTTTCTAGGTCATATGTGTGTAATAGATGCCAGAGCCCGTGTTGATTTGCTCTGAGAAAAATACATCTGAGACACCAGCCGCAATTGGAGTTATCAATTGATTAACATTTATGATAAGCCACAGTCACTCTCCAAAATCTGCCCACCTCCTGCATGGGCAAAACAGGGCAGTTGAAATAAAAATGTGGTGGGCATCACCTGTGCATTGTTCAGCTCTTTGATGATGGCAATAATAATCTGTCCTTTACCCAGAGATATAAATATTTTTGTTTTAATACACTCACTGGTGGAGAGGGGTATTTCTTCTTTCACTTGGGATTTTCTACCATAATGGCCTTTATTCTTATTAGAGATACAATAGTGAATAAGAGAAATTCAGTAATGTGAATGTTGTGTTGACTGCCTGGATTTTTTTCTTAAACTCAGGAACTCATTTCTCTAGCTGCTGGGTATGTTAGCTGCAGATGGCTCACAGCTATCTACTCCTTCAGACATTTCCCTCAGCAGAAGCAGCTACACCTGAAGTTGCATCTACTCCCTACAGAAACCCCACATCCAATGACTGGTAAGTGCAGGGGTACAAGGAGGCACAAAAAGCCCACCTACCTTGTCTTAACTGGGACAGTTAATTGTGAATAGTTGTTCCATCTTAGAGATTCATGTGGGATCGACTTGACTATAACTTCATCACAGCCGAAATTCTTTTCTTGCTCCATTCCTTTTCCCTTGCTCCCTCCAAACAGTGCTCCACGGAACACCCACAATAAGCTCCTCATGAATAAATACATCTCAGTCTCAGAGTCAGCTCCCTTGGGACTTGAAGAACATCAAGTGGTGTCAGGAGTTATTCTAGGAAGCAGATTTTGGAGTTGGATAACTGGCAGCCTGACTGACAGTGAAGATCTCATCACTCGTGATGACATATACATAGGCCCTCACAGGCAGCTACAAATTCTCCAGTGTTGAACTGAGACAAAATACCAGTGGAAAGAACTGCATTGGCAGGTGTAGCCTCTCAAATGTTTGAGAGACAAAGGAAAAAGAGCAATTGTAAGTGCTATGGAATTAAGTATCTACTGTTAGTGGTCAATAAATGTATTGAAGAAAAACAGTAAAAAGTTAACTATGATTAACCACAGACTTAATGCAAAGTGTGAAAGCCAAAGGGCCTCTTTGGCAATCTGTGCAAAGCTTTTCATCAAACGCAGTCTGAAAGCAAAAAAAGGCTTAGAGAGATCAGGTCCAGAACTTAATTGTAAGTGTAGTTAGTGATTGAAAAGATGTTGAATTGTCAACTTCAACAACTCTATTACACCAAAGTCAAGACCCTGATTGGAATGAACTGAGAATTTGACACTTTAAAAGAAATATTTGGCTCAAAGTACTTGAAAATACTGAATCCCTAAACCTTTGGAATTTTCCTGAATTGTTTGGGACTGCTGAATGGTTCTCTCTTCCCTATGAAAAAATAGCATTCCCCCAATGCAAAGGTCTCTGCCTTGCAGGACCTCTGTGTCCTATCAAGATTCACCCCCACCTCCTCCACTAGCTACCAGAACAATAGCTATGTCCCAACACATACTTAGCTGAGCAAGTGCTGAGTTTGCTAATAGAGAAAAGGAATGATCTCCTGAAGCAACTCTGGGACTTAGCCAACAGATACTGGAAGGATCCAAAGTGTATATAGGTGCCTGGAATCTGAGCGACCTATATTAAAAGACACAGGACAGAAAGTTAAATAAGAAAGTATTTGCTGATGTGAAGCCAAACTCCTATTATACAGGATTTAACACTCATGAAAAACCTCAATATGCTAACAGTTTGTCAGGATAGAAATCCTAGAAGCTTGGAGAAAGCAAGGACATATGTTAATGAAAGTAGAAATACCAGAATTGCCATGACAGAAATGGGAATCAAAGAGCTCATCGAAGTGGTCATGCTAGAAGAACAATACCTTATATGTACTGAAAGCATTCATGTTAACTGTACAAAGCAGGAGGGATCAGATGATTCTCTGTTCACTGAAGTGCTAAGGAATGTATTAGTGAGAAAGCACAGGCATCATCGGCAACTCCAGAGTGGCTATTTCCGGTAGACCAGGTCTGACAATAGGAAATGCTGTGGAAGAACTGAGCTCCTGGATAGAAATGGAGAGGATAGGATCCTAAATGCTAGAGTCCAGGTGGTGGCTCTTATTCTTCAAAAGCAAGATTAGCACAATTATTGTAATAAATAGCAAGAACAGAGTAGCACCCAAGAAAGCCTGACTTACAGAAAGCTATGTGGATATTTAATAAAAAATATAATAATCCCAGAAGAAAGATAGATGTAAACCCAGAGAGTTTTCCCTCTAGTTTACAGAATCAAATAAAAACAAGGGTAGATACTTAAGGGGTCAAGTCAGTCACTCCAATAAAATATTACAGTCTTTCTGACAGTTTCTAGACTTGGGCCAGTTCTCAGACTTACAAGGCACAACTGTGGGAGAGGATAGTTTTCTAGAAGAAAAGATCCTGCAACACCATGGTGGTTGTATACAGTGATTATTCCTTCTTTCCTTCTGCCCAAAGACATACAACCATTTATTCAAGTTACCACACCCTGACTAGAAGATTCTGTTAGACATTTTGAGAACTCTTGAACACTGGATCTGAGTTGACACTTACTCTCAGAGACTAACCTAAATTTTATTAGAGTAGGAGGTGCATGGACATCATGGAATCAATGGAGTCTCAGTTCCGATCCAGCTTACAGTGGGTTGTTGTTCACTCACCCACCCAGTTATCATTTCTTTGGTTTCCTGATGTGTAATTGGAATGGCTATATTTTGTAGTTTCTAGAAAGCCATACTCATTCCTTGATCTGTGATGAAGGGATTATCTTAGAAGTCAAGTTGAAACTTTTGATCTCTACCACCACTTTCTCCTTGGCTTGTAGATTGTCTTCTCACTGTAACTTTACACTGCCTATCTATGTTTTAATCTCCTATTCTTATAAGAACACCAGTCATGTTGGATTGAGGCCCACCCAAATGACCTAATTTTTAACTTAACATCTCTTTAAAGACCTTGTTTTTAAATATAGTCACATCTGAGGACCTGTTGGTGAGAACTTCAACTTTTGAATGCGGGGGGTGGGGGCACAATTCAACCCATAACAGACTCTATAGGTAATTGTCTTTCTGAGTGATCTTTAGAGATGGCTTTGGGACTGTCTACAAATTGCCTTGAGTCTTGCATTTTTTCTCCAGCCTGAACTTTTGTGGAAGTACCAAACTTTTTAATCCTCATTGTCAGTCTTTTCTGGGGTTTGTATATGTATGTGTGTTCCTCAAAGAAAAGGAAAGTATTACAAGGGTAAGAGACTTGCTATACTTCACCTCTTCTGTTTAGTTCTCTTGGCTTCTACATCTTTGCCTGAGAATTGAGAATCTTACAAAGTGTTTTGGGAGATACCTAGCCTAAGACTGACCACAAATATGTTTCTCTCTCTCTTTTAAATATTGTATTTATTTACTTTTAGAGAGAGGAGGAGATGGGGAGGAAAAGAGGGAGAGAAACATCAATGTTTGAGAGAAACACTGATTGGTTGTCCCTTGCATGTCCTGAACCAGACATACAGTCTGCAATTCAGTCATGTACCCTGACTTGGAATTGAATGGGTGACCTTTTGTTCTGTGGCCTGATGCCCAACCCACTGAGCCACACCAGTAAGGGCCTGCATCTTTATTTTAACTAAAAAGGGATGAGGAGGCAAAAAAAATCAACCCACTTCTCAACCCCAACATGTTGGACTAAATTTCATGCTTCCATAAAGACATGACAATTACAATGCTTAAGTAAGTTTTAGGTAGAATAATTACTACAGTTATTTACTGGGATTTAAAATCCATCATTTTTACAAAAATGTAGTTGTTTATATGTAATATTTCATTTATCTATATGTGACTAAATTATAAAAATACGTATAAGCTAAAGATTCTGTAGAACAACATCATACTTAGGAAAACTGGAGAAATCTAGTCCATGTGTGGTCTTGTTTCTGCTTTTTAAATTCAATCTCTACAATATAACAATAAGAAAAACTTACCTATCTGTATAATAAGTACGATTTTACTTCCTCTACAATGTATATTTTTCTAGCAACAAAGGTAGGTCCAGTGAAGGCAGACAACACACTAGGTATATGTACTATTTATTTATTCATTTTTACTAAATTTAGTCACAGTTTAGCAAATCCTTCCTCGGCTTTTTAAATGTGTGATTAGAAGCAATGGTACATCTTCCTGAGACTCTTTAGAACAGTTTCACTCCTGGCTCAACTTCTCAAGAGGAAGATGTGACATAAGATGATTTGGGCTGTAAAATGGGCGTAGTAATTGCATCCCGAGACTGTTGTGACAAGTGAAATAAGGCATGTATTAATAAAATATATCCAACACCATATGGGCTTGGTAGTTGATATAATTATTAGGCTATGGAGAAAGATTATTTCTAGGATACCTAAATGACAGCTGGAGTAGAGAAACAGAATGTAACTTACATAGTGAAAAGCCTTGAGTCGTTGAAGTAGTGTAAAAAACAGTTTTATCATTCCAAAATCATCTACATTCTGGAAAATTCCACTTTCCCTCTGAGAGTGGCTCTCCTAACAACAGACCCACCCAATCCTATGATTTTAGTCACTTTTGATTCTGTTTTTTAAGACTTAAGACTCAGTAGTGTCTGTTTTGAGAAGCGGTTGGTCATGATCCGTTCTAGCTCATTGCTGACAGCCACACATCATCTGACATCCAGAGAAGCTGGACATACTTTAATCTTCTTCCTCTATGTAGTAAAACTGTCCAGTAATAATTATAAAGTGACACAGAAAATATTAAAAGCCAGAAAAGAAATGCAGGCGGTAACATTTTTTAATTTAACTTCATGAATATAATCATGCCAATAAGATTTTTATTAAAAATAAGATAGCTGTAAAACTACAAGAAAGAAAAGTTTGTTTTAATATTGTTTAATTACAATAATGATTTTTTAAATGGGGAAAAACTTGTACCTACATAATAGCCTGTTACAGTAATAAATAATAAAATCAGTTCCAGTTTCAAGACTTATCTTTTACAAATTTGTCAATGATCTTGTAAACAATAGAATTTTCAATGCATATTTATTTTCTATCAATCAATTTTCACTTATAGTTTATCAAAAATACTTTTTATTAATTTTAATTTCAAAAAATTCTCAGGTATATCAGATACTCTCTCTAGGAAAAGTCATACATGTAAGGATACATTGACAGTGATTTTAAAATCTCATTTCACAATAAATTCCAGAAATTTCAAATCCTCTATTCACCCTCCTACCCCTGGATTAATTCTAGCACTGGAAAAAATTTAAACACAATTAAAAACACTAAACAGTTACATACAATGGCAGACTTGAAGTAATTCAAGTTTTATTTCTTCATTTTTAACCATCATTATGCTATTTACTGTTTAAACACAGAAATGAACAGAAATAGGTTGAAAATACAAATTGCACCCTAAATAAGCTTGAATCATTCTAAACTGTTGCAAAATTACTCTTTAAATAAACACATGTGACTGAGTCCCTGCCTGCTGGGAGACTGATTATATAACTAGAGTTTCCCAAATTAACTTTGATGTATATATAATTTTTATTTAAAAATAAATAATAATATATGCTCACTTGAACATTACAATATATTATTAAACTCAACATTCAACTGTAATTGTAGCAAGTGCAAAATTAGAGCAATAATATTTCATTTTGTTTCATTTCAGAAAAGAACATGTTATCATTGACACTATTTAGAATTGCTGGCTACCTTTAATGATTTCAAGGCAGACCTCTCCCATCTGTCTTGCTCTGGACACCCCACTGTTAGACGATTTTTTATGGGTGTCTCATATTTCTGATTGTTTTGGGAAGTGAGGTGCAGTAGACTATCTTCCCCAGAATGTTTGCACTGAGAACAAACAAGGATGCAGGTATTGTCTTCCTCCGGATCAATGGGCAGATTTCTTTACTGTGCAGTATAATAAAATTACTTTCTTTCTTCAGGGCAAAGGGCTTATTTTCAATTATAAAGATTTGAATTTCCCTAAGCTTTGGGTTCTCCTCTGCACCATAATCCACTACACAGGCAAGCATCACCTAGTCTTTTTAACATCAAACTGTGTGAATTAGGGCTCAGGAAACTGGCATAAGCACTAATATTCTGGCTACTGCTATCACTGTGTGAGTAATCAAGTACTCTGTCTCTGGACCAGGCCTGCCATATCTTTTGCTAGCATCCATGAAATGGTGGTAGGCTACCTCGTTACCTTGTATGTAGGGTAAAATCTTACTTCGTCTATAATACGATTCAGTTACAGATATTTTGTAGATAGCCTGTTAAAATACAAAAGAAAATAGGTAACATTAAAAAAATACGGAGATTTTTTGCTTTTCTCCCTTGATCTCATTATTAACTCATTCACTGTTTAAGCATTCTATTCAGTTTCCATGAGCTTGAGTGTTTTTTAATTTTTACCTTGAGGTTGGTTTCTACTTTCAAGCCCTTGTGGTCAGAAAAAATGCTTGATATGATTTCAATTTTTTTGAATTTGTTGAGGCTTGTTTTGTGTCATGTCATGTGGTCTGTCTTTGAAAATGTTCCATGCACATTTGAAAATAATGTATATTTTGCTTCCTTGAGATGAAAGATTCTCTCTATATAAGTTAAGTCCTTTTGATCTAATGTGTTGTTCAGCTCCACAATATCCTTGTTGATACTTTGTCTGGGAGATCTATCCATTGTTGACAGTGGGGTGTTAAAATCCCCTACTATAATTGTGTTGCTGTGTATATCTTTCTTGAAGTCCTCCAAGATTTTTCTCATATATTTGGGTGCTCCTATGTTGGGTGCATAAAAGTTTACAATGTTTGTGTCTTCTTGATGGATTCTTCCCTTGAGTATTATGAAGTGTCCTTCTGTGTCTCTTTTTATGGCCTTGTTTTGAAGTCTGTTTTGTCTGATATGAGTATTGCTACCCCGACTTTTTCCTCTGTCCATTTGCTTGGAATATTTTTTCTAATCCTTCATTTTCAGTCTGTGTAGGTCTTTTGTTCAGATGTGGGTCTCTTGTAGGCAGCATTTGTGTGGGTCGTTTTCTTATCCATTCAGCTACCCTATGTTTTTTGATTGGAGCATTTACTCTGTTTACATTTAAGGTTATTATTGATAGGTACTTATTCATTGCCATTTTACCCCCTTTGTACCTGTGTTCCTCTCTCTCATTCTTTTTCTTCATCTTCTTAAAGAAGTCACTTTAGCATATCTTGAAACACACAGTGATATTTTCACCAATATGTCCCCTAGAGCAAGAGTATCAAACTCATTTTCACTGGTGGCCACATCAGCCTCATGGTTGCTTTCAAAGGGTCAAATATAACTTCAACTCCTTGAGAGTTAAGGAGTAGTTACATTTATACAGCCCTAAAATTATTTCAGCCCTTTGAAAGCAACCAAAAGGCTGATGTGGCCCCCAGTGAAAATGAGTTGGACACCCCTGCCCTAGAGCAAGGGACATAAAGGAAAGAATGAACAAATGGGACTTCATCAAAATAAAAAGCTTCTATGTGGCTAAAGAAAACATTAGCAAAATGGAAAGGGAACCAACTGTATGGGATAACATGTTGGCCAATGATACCTCGGATGAGGGTTTGATCTCCAAAATATATAAAGAACTCACACAAGTCTACTCCAGGAAGACAAACAATCCAATTAAAAAAATGGGCAAATAACCTGAGCAGACACTTCTCCAAGGAAGATATATAGAGGGCCCAGAGACATATGAAAGGATGCTCAACATACATTAGCCATCAGAGAGATGCAAATTAAAAAAACATAATGAGGTATCACTTCATACTAGTCAGAATGGCCATCATAAACAAATCAACAAGCAACAAGTGCTGGAGAGGTTGTGGAGAAAAGCAAACACTAGTGCACCCTTGATGGGAAGGCAGACTGGTATAGACACTGTGGAAAACAGTGTGGAATTTCCTGAAAAAGTAAAAATGGAATTGCCTTTTGACTTGGCAATTCCACTGCTGGGATTATACCCTAAGATTCCTGGAAGACCAATTCGGAAGAACCTATGGATCCCGATGTTCACAGTAGCACAATTTATAATAGCCAAGTGCTAGAAGCAACCTAGGTGCCCACCAGTAAATGAATGGATCAAAAAACTATGGTACATTTACACAATGGAATACTGTGCAGCAGAAAGAAAGAAGGAGCCCCTACCCTTTGTGACAGCATGGATAGAACTGGAGAGCATTATGCTAAGTGAAGTAAGCCAGGTGGTAAAAAACAAATACCATGTAATTTTACCTATCAGTGGAACCTAATCAACAATACAAGCAAGCAAGCAAAGTATAACCAGAGACATTGAAACAAAGAACAGACAGTAGCCAGAGGGGTGGGGGGAAGGGTATAACACAGGAAAGAAGGGGAAGGGTCACATCAAGAAACTTGTTTAAAGGACACACGGACAAAGCCAAAGGAGGGTAGGATTGAGGGTGGGAGGTGGAGTTGGGTGGGGCGGGGGAATGGGGGGCAATCAAGGGGGGGATGGCAGGTGAATCTTGTCCCCCATGGAGACAACTGTACTTAAACAACAATGAAAGGTAGCAAGGAAGAAAGAAAAGAAAAAAATTAAAATTAAGGAATAAAGCAGATTATTTGTTCAATGTGGTTATATACAAAATGCTTTAGTCTTTAAATGTTGTCCTCATCCTGCTTGGGTCATCTGTGTGTCACCCTAGTGACAAGGGGGCATGTCAGGACAAATCCAGAAACATTCAAGGGCTATGAAGAGAAACCAAGAGTGGGCGAGTGTTATACATATTCCATAACAAAAGCAGTGTCTTGTTGAAAGGGATGCAGTTCGGATCTGATGTGAGCAGCTAAGAGGAAATGTCATGTTGTGAGAGGCAGAGGACAGAGCTGAGAACGACTGAGGCCAATGTGTCCTGTAAGGATGGTTTCAGAGGGTTGTTAATTATATCAGGTAGTAGTTTTCTTTGAGGACCCACAGGATCCGGTATCAACATCAGGAATAGTTGGATATGGGCACGTGGTCTGTTTTACTGGTGAGCATGGCAGTTGACCCCCCACCCTCTCCTGGGTGCTCTGTGACAGGCCAGACTTGTGGGCAGGCCTAGGAATAGCTGAGGGGGCAGTGGGGGTGGGGTGGAGGCAAACTGCATGCTAATTTAATGCCTGGTCCCAGCTTGTTTTCCTACCATTATTTTCATGTTGCTTAATTTTTCTTGTTTTAATTTATTTCTGATCATGTTATATTTTGGTTTGGAAGCTGCCTTAACAATGTTTTGGACAGGGAGGAGTATGAATAAGTAAAGTATTCTTGGTTTGTTTCAGAGAAAAAAGAGAAAGAGTGATGGCAAATGAAGGTGAAGCAGCTGAAGGCTGGCTGAGCAGAGGCTGTGATACTGAAACCTGGTGAACTTTGTCTTGTCCCTCATCCTGTAAACCTGCTTTGAGGGCACGTGCTGCTTCACATCTTAAGAAGCTGCCTGAGATCTGAGATCTGCTTGCATAGTATAAATATAACTTGCATTATCCCTCATTTCTTTATAATTTTTTCACTTCAGATTATGTTCTTCCAAGTCTGAACATTTAATGAGAAAAATTAATTAAAATTTCTTCATCACACTTTCCCACCTCTGGGTATTATTAAGACAATATTTGTTTGTTTGCTTCCATTTATTTTAATTTATTGTTTGTGATCTTCATTACAACTTATTTAGAGACTCCTTTTCCCTGGTTACTAATCCCTTTGGAGCTGATGGCTGTATCACAAAGACTAACATCATTATTATTATGCACTGGCACATTCTTAGGGAGGCAGAGTAGGAAGCAGAAAACATCTACATCCTTTCCCGGGAGGAAATGCTAAATGTACCTGATAGAGGTTAGAGAGACTATGTGAATGCCATAGGCTCTAGAGAATATAATATTTGCAGACCTTTTGTCATCACACAGGCATCACTAGATTGATAGTATATTATTTTTAAATTAAAAAACGATAATTTAGACTAGTGTTCTAGGGTGACCATTAACAATTTTAGAGTACTTACATGAAACCAGGTTTAAAATGTTTCCTTATTTCCTGGTATTTAGAGTTAACTTTAAACCGTAAGGGAAATCCATAGATTGGAAGATTGAGACTAGCTGGGCTTAATTAAATGCGATTGTATGTTTACTGAGCACCCACTCAGTAGGTTCCAGATTCAGAATCAATATATTCTCTGTCATCATGAGAACATTTCAAAAAAAGGGGCAACTCAGTTTCTTGAGACTTTACCTGATCCCATCTTTTCAGTTGTGGTTTCAGATATGAAGCTGGAGCAGTACAAGCGGCAGAGGAAACGCCAGTTTTCTCCCAGTGAGCAAGTTTCAGCACAGGTGAATGACAGGAAGTGCTTTGTCAGCAGCTGGGGGCTGGCAATGCAGTGGGAGACTCTGAACTCTCCTGCTTCCAATTTTCCTTTTTTAAAAAAGTAGTGCTTCGCACTACCCTCAGATACTAGTTTTTATTTTCTCTACCATGTTTACAAGGTTTCTCAAGAAAGTGAAAATCGGCCCTCGGGGGACTCTGTTGGCTGGAGCGCAGTCCTGACACCAAAAGGCTGTGACCCATTGATGTTTCTCACGTCGATGTTTTCGATCTCTCTTTCTTTCTCTCTAAAATCGATAATCATATCCTCAGGCAAGGATTAAGAAAATGGGAAATCAGCGCTTGCTTATAAAAAATAAGGAAATGGTTGGGTGATTGGGTAAGATGAAGACTTAAAAATGATTAACTTTGAAAAATTATCAGATACAGAAAAAATAATCAAAAACTGTGGAGATTAAGAACTAAATAGACTAAATAGTGTATGTGAAGCGTAATTACCACCTTTAACTTCTCTCTTCATTTGAACTATTCATTATTTACCAATGTCATGGATAGATTTGTAATTATTAAAAGTTCAGATATTGGTACCATTTACAAAAGAGTTAAGGTTGCTGTGATGTCTTAGTTGTGGTCATTTGATGGTTGCCTGACACCCAAGGATGGGGCCATGCCCTGAGTGTCCTGTAAACTCTCAGCAAGTGCTTGCTGACTGAGCTGGTTTACATGTGCATGAAGAAGTGGGAAGGAAGGTTGATAGCAACACTCTGCAAAAACTTTTCTAAATACACCTTCTTTCTTAGGATTTTATGTATGTATGCATTTATGTATGTATGCACGTAGTTATTTATTTTAGAGAGGGGGAAGGGAGTTTTCACAATATCAGTAACTAGCTCAGTGCCAGAAACATCACAGGTACTTAATTTATATTTATTGTTTTAATCTGGTATTTATGGCTATTAACTCTTAGTGCAAGCAAGTGACCCTCTTCCATACAAAGTTAAAGAAAAAAACAGCAATTCTCTACCAAGGGATATTAAAGAAGAAAAAATCCTAAAATCTTAAATAAATGAAAGACAATTGTTGGGTTGGACAGGATATGAAAGGGTTAACGCCCACGGCAGGCGCCAAACAAAGAAAACTGCAAGCTAAGCAACCGCCAAATCTTACCGCCAAATCTTACCGAAACAAGTGCCTAAGTGGTCAGCCATTCTCAGTCTGCCACGAAACTACAGCGCCCAATCAGAATAAAACCCAACAAGCCTTACCCTACCCCGATGTATAAAAAATACCGCTGCTCTTCCTGGGGCGCGACTTCTCTGGCCCCCTTACTCTGGACCAGAGAACCTCGCCCAGAAGCGCAACCGCAATAAAATCCTGTTTTACCCCCTTTGTGGCTGATTCGATTTTCTTCCTCGGTGGAAAAACCTTACGATAATATGTTTCTGGCATATTATGAATATGGCAATTTTGAATATTTTAATGTTATTCTTGATGCAATTAAGTAAGAATGCAATTTAGTAAGAATCTCAATGACAAAACAGATGGCAGATAGAGGTATCGATATGTTTTGGAAACTTAGAAGGTGAATTCAAGTTTATTCCGATAAAAACAGGCAAGAAACTTTAGGGAAAATTGTTACAAGTGGGAAGTGTCCTATTAGATATAAAAATAAAAGGCTGCATGAATTAGAAACATGTTTCCGAGAGAGGAATTAGCATCTCAAAGAGAGCAGACTAGGTTGCTGGTAAACAGACAAGGCACACACAGGAGTTCAGTGTATGATAGGCACAGCATCATGAAGAAGGATTTGGGAGGATTATTCAATAAGCCATGCTGGGAAAATATGTATATTGTCAAATTATCCCACCTCACCAGTGCTTCTTCATCAAAAAGAATTCCAGAGGTATTAAAAACCTAAATGGAAGAAATGAAACTATTAGAAAAAAAGTAAGACATTTTGGAAGATTACTAATATGGAGGTGGGAAGTTAAATTCTACATATGAAAGCAATGCAAGAACACTCAAAGGAAATAAATTTATATTTTTATTATCAGAAATAAAAGGTTCATTATTAAAATTCAAAGGCATGTTTTAACACATACAGCAACATTTTTTATAGTTCATATATAAAGGTTTAATGTGCAAAACTCAATCACCCAGTTAAGGTAAGCAAAGGACATCATGACAGAGACTGCCAGCTATCTAACAAAATTCACCATCTCTTCAGTGGTGACAGAACTGTATTCCGGTACATGGGTAAACTCATTTCCAGCCTCCCTTATGACCACATATCTAAGCTCCTGCCCATGGAATTGGAGCAGAAATGATGTGCCGCTTCAAGGCCAGAGCTTTTCAGAGAGTGAGTGTGCCTGCTCCCCACTCCTCCCTCTCCTCCCCACTGTGCCTGCTGAACCTGTGCACATGACCCAGCCTCCACAGTGAGGCATTAGGGAGTGGTGGAGCCATGAGAGAAAAGGGGCCTGGGTCTCTCAATCACTGTGTGAGGGATGTCTACCTGCCAACTTCCCACCTGATGGAAGGGTGCCAAGTAAGCCTGTGTTTATTTTAGTCTTTACATGATAACCACTTAGCTTGCTATACAATTTTCACCCATCTTAGTACACAATGCTTAGAAGAAGAAACACAGGTGGTCAATACTCATGTAAAATATATTCATTTTCACTAATCAAAAAGAGAAATTCAAACAATGAATTACTGTTTTACTGATGAAATAGTTATTTTGCAACTATCAAAAGAATCAAAAGCAAAATTGCTAATTTTGGGAAGGGTTCAGGGAAACTGCCTTACTTATGCACAGTTGCAGAGAATCTGTACTGACCCAAAGCCTTGGAAATAATTTTACAATATATATTTAGTAAAGAATCTTAGAAAAATCACATATTTTAACATGGTAACTTGTCTTTGATAGATTTATTCTAAGTAAACAGTATTAAAGATTTATATGCAAAGATGTTCACTGCAATGTTCTTTATAATAACAAAACATCTGGAAGGAATGAACTCTCCTAAATAATAAAATGGGTAACTAAAATTCACTGTATTCATATAGATTATTATATGCCCATTAAAACTGTATTTTAAAAAGTTTTAAAATTACATTTAATTATTCACACCACAATTGGCATGTGCATGAAAAGGCAGCATATAAAATAGAATATAGGCCATGCATCTAACATTTTGAGAAGAAAACAGAACTATATATATATTTATAAACATAGGCAATTATATAGAGATATTTAAACAGTGTATACTGAAATATTGTATTTAGTACATACTATATATATAATCTTCCCTTTACCTCTCTATACTTTTTAGAATGATCTAAAGTATTTTATTAGTTTATAATTAGAAAAGAAACAATTTTGAAAAGAGAAAACAGGATGTCAAAAAACCAAAGTAGGTTTGTGAATTTGTATTTGTCAATATATCAGCCATCATAGCAGATAACTTAAAATATGCTATTTGAAGAGTATGCAGGCTTCATTTATTTTTGTTCTCTGGTTATGAAACGTTTTTCTAATTTTAGAGTTTAAGAGATGTAGCGTTTTCTACAGTGGTATGAAGCTGATACTTTGGGTACCAAATATTTTTAAACTTTTTATTAAACTATAGCACATGCACAGAAATGCACACAATTGAAAGTGTTCAGCTCCCTGAATTTTCACAAACTGAAAGCACCCATGTAACTTTCACTCAGATCAGGAAACAAACATCCTCAGCACCCAGAAGACTTCTTTTATGTTCCCGCCTAGACACTTACACACAAGGAAACTGCACAGACTAATTTCATTTATACATATTTAAAGAAGTGAAATTATATACTGTATTTTCTCTTATGTCATGCAGATGTCTCTCACTCTTACATGTTTATGTTTCATCTACATTTTTGCATGTAGGTTTAGATTATTCACATTTGCTGCTGTATAGTATTTCATTGTGGAAGTACACTCCAAATTATTTGCATGTTCTACTATTGATAGTTTTGTGTAGTTTTGAGTTTTGGGCTCTTATGAATAGTTCTTAGAACATTTCATCACACATCTCTGGTGAACATATGTATGCATTTTAGTTGAATAAATATCTAAGAGTATAATTGCTGGGTAATAGGCATTGCATGGTCAGCTTTGGTAGATATTGCCAAGCATTTTTCCAAAGT